TAGTAAGCTCCTTACAACTACACTGCACTGTTGGACACTTATATATCTTTATCCCTAATTTGTCCCAAATTAAAACCATACTCCTCTCCTCCCCCTGGGAATACCTCCCATAGTGAGCATTTCCACACTTCAGTTTAGGTATGTTCTTCTAACTCATGTCCCACTTCTTGTTTCTCTCAACAGTCCCACAACTGGCAGCTTAGAGATACGGTTTCAAGCCCATTTTCAGAAGTTAATGCTGATGGGATTTTTTTTTTGGCAGGATAATGAGAACATTATAATCACATTCAATATATAAATAATGAACCTAATTTCATAAACAATTAAATGTAGCATAATCATAAATATATTTCAGAAGAGCGAATTTAGCCTGCATCTTTAGTATCTCTTTTCACACGGCAATGATAAATGTTCTTGAGTCAAAGGCAACTGGTCAAAGGACCTATTGACCTTCCTCCCTTTCTTCTTTCCTTCCTCCCTCCTCCTTCCTTCTTGTTTGTGTCTCTTACCTTCTGTCTTCTTGACATGTTACAGCATACTCGTAGAATCCTTGTGAAGCTTATTGTAATCTATTACAACAGACCATAAGTATTTTCAATGTCAATAAATTTACCGCTACACCATCACATAAATAGCTGCTTAATTTCCTAATGGGGGACATTCTAATTCTTTTCCAACTTTTTTTTTTTCTGTTATAAATCATGCAGGTCAGTGGCCTGTTGAAATCTACTATTCAGCTATTTCCTGCTTCTCCAGTCACCTATTTATCTCTTCAAGGAATTCTTGGTATGGAATGATATGGTCTGGTCTGGTATTCCCTTTTAAAACTACATTACCCAGCAAGGCATTGAAATAAATTTTAAAACTTTGCTATAATATAGTCAGGGTAGTCCTTAAAACCTTGGATTCTGAACTCAGCTTACCTGAATTTGAATCCTAGCTTTACCAGTTGCTATCTGTGTGATTTGGGGCAAGATGTTTAATCTTTCTGGATATCAGTCCCTTCCCCTATGATGCAACAAAGATTGTACCATCTCAAATCTTGTGAGGATTTAGAGAATGATGCAACTAGGGCACACTTAATACTAACTCTTGATGATAGTGCCTTTTTTACTTACACTACTAAACCAAATATTCTACCAAAATATAGCTACAAAGAGCACTTACTTTCTGATTAAAAATATATATATACTGAGAGCAGAAAGACAAGATTAGAAACTGTGGTCAATTCTTATTATGTCACCAAGTGTAAAAATTTGTACTATGGTAGAGTTGATGAACTACACACTGTCAGAGGAATCTCAATAGCCCTCACGTTGGGAGTTAAATACAAGCACCACACATCCACAGCAATTGCCTATCCTACAAGTTGTTTTCAGTACATAAAAGTTGTCTATGATCTTCAGTCCATAGGAACTAGAACTGAAAAGTGTACTTTCTCTAAGATTCTTTTCTCTTTCTGCTTTTCTGCTAGTAAAAATAGAGAAATGCAAAATTTTATGTCTACGAAAGCTTTTCTTAAAAAACAGTTTATGGGCTCACTTGACCTCCTTAGAAAACCTTTTCTGCAAGCAGTTTCTCACTGTGCAGCAAGGTTCTGAAAGCTGGGACACCCCTCAGTGGGAGCAATGATGAGGTATGAACTTGGGAACTATTTTGGGGAGATATGAAAATGCAGGGAACTTAAGGTCAATTGTTCACGTTTAACTACTAGAGGAGTATATCAGAAACATCTGCATTTTAACTATTAGACCAAGTCCTTGGTTGATAAAAAGTAAATTTGACAATAAGTCAAATGTTTGAAGGGAAGACCAGGCATTTTCTTATCTAAAGAAGCTCTTTGGTCTCTACACTATGAACAAAATTGCATGTCAAAAGACCTGATCTTTATTCTCAGTTTTATATCAGGCTAATTGAGTTCCAGAAAGGGTAAAACAATTCAGTTCTTTTACTTAGACAGAAATTCTTAACCATTTCTTTGGCTCATGTCCCTGTTTTGTTTTGTTTTATTTTTAAGATTCATTTACTTATGAATACAGAACTGGGGTACAGGCCAGAGGTGTGGTTGGTGAGAGGATTCACCAGAGACAGAGTGGGGAGAAGAACAGGCAGATTGAAAAAGTACACACTGAGGGGAGCAGCAGGCATGTCAGGAGAGGTCTGCCACGCCACGTGGGTCAGCTCACTGGCCAGGGATTAAACTCGTGCTGCAGTGGCTTTGGAAAGCTTCATAATGCGGTTCTTTAACCCATTGCACCACCCCAAGGAGCCCATCATGTCCCTGTTTTATCAGCAAAAGAAGGAGCACCCTAGAACCCCCAAACCTGCCTGCTCTAAGTAAATTCTGCCATCGCCACATCAAGACAAAACATACTCTAGTGCATAAGACCTTTAATAGAAAATAACTTTAATATAATTAGTGTGCAATAAAGAGAAAAGAAAGAATATAGTTTAAAAATTCACCATGAAACACCAAAAGTTGTCCATTCCCTTGTGGGTAAATACCCAGCCAGAGTTGGTCCAAAATGGAGCCATTGAGGCCAAAAGCTTGCTGCAAGTCAAGGCATCTTCTATTGGGGAAGGGACAGAACAAGCCAAGCAAATCTGAAAGGAAAAGAACAAATACAGGTCAATACAAGTCAAAGGTCTCTCATCCACCTCTCTTCCAAGTCTTTTCTTCCATGCCACCCAAGTTCCTGGTACAAGTGCAAGAGCAAGAAGCAATTGCCACTTCACCTTCACATGTCTCTGCTGCAGGTACCTCTTCCAGGTCTTTCTTTCTGCTTCCCTCTCCTCTTAGTCTTCTTCTTCTCCTTTTTATCTTTTCTAGCTTCTCTTTCCTGCCTAGCCCCTAGAAGGGAGCAGGGAAGGTGGAACATCCCCTTTCCCTGAAGAGTACGCTTTATTACCAGGTCCACCTTGAACTTATGCTCTGTTATGTGGGATATTATGTGATCAAAGCCCAGTGAGACTGAATAAATAATGTTAAGTGGTCACTCAGCTAATCAGTAGGCTTGTATTTTAAAAGCTTGTGCTTCTTGTAAACTTGCATTTCTCCTTCATGGAATGTCTTTAGAGTATATACTTTATGGTCAAACTAGAGAGGAGAAATTAGTTTATAAAGAAAAGGCAAGAATGAAAAATTGATTAACTTTTGCTTTTAACTTAATATTGTTTGTTAAAAAGATTATGGACACTGAAACCACAAAATGCTTTTGCTCTAGAGAACAAGCATATCTTAGGACTAGTACTGATTTCCCAGAATTCCAGAATTTCTTCTAAATATTCAAGGAAAGTACAAGGGATTAAGAATAAAGAAGATAGAATTGTGGTGAGGGTGAGGGTTTTATATTTTAATTTTTCACATCTGTATTGCTTAAAATTCTTTTCATAAACATTATTATAAAATTTTATACTAGAACCCTCATATCAGAAATGAATCTCTGTCTAGTGGCTTGATGTCAATCTGCAAATAGTAAAAATGACAAGTGTCCCTTCACTTGGAAGAAACTTCTTTAAAATAACAATATAAATCATCTCTCTCACTTGTAAGCATCAGCTCTCCCATGTCACAAATTGTAGGAGAGAGGTAAAAATAAAATCCAAGTTTCCTACATGATGGAAATCATTATATCTTTTTGATTGGTCTTCTAGTAACAGTAGATGGGAAATGTGTACAATTTATAACAATTCAGAAAGTATATACAAGTATTTTCAGGACAGTATGAAAAAGATCTACTGCTGCTGTGTTATGATTCTAGCATCCTGGATACTCTTTGTCATCTCTACACCTTCCTTATCAAGAATTCCATTTCAATGTAGAAAAGAATAATTTTCACAAAAGTGAATCCATGAAGCATACACGTTTTGAGAAACTAATGTGTACACGGCTCTAGATACAAGGTGGGAGAAAGACACAAAGGTGAACAAGAGCCAAGAGCCCCATGTTGCTTCTAAACTCACGGCAGAGATTCTAGAATCCAACGTGGGATGCAGTAAGCATACAGCCCACTGAAAACTAGAGTAGGACTGTGGGAAAGAGTGGCTAGGTGGTCCACTCCAAAGGGAAGTGCTTTGGTTTGAGACTAGAAAAGATGTAAGCAGAAGAGAGAGTCAGAATGGAGAGATGAGAAACTGATCCGGTGGTCTTGACAGAAATCTAAAGAGCCCAGGAGAGAGGTTGGACAGAAGGTGGAAGGGTGTTATCCAAAGAACATAAATGAAGAAAGAGGGCATGTGTGGGAAGGCAGAGATATTCTGAGGTGAAGGAAAAAGAAGCTGACGGAGTCCACTTGGCAACTTTGACTTGTTTAGTCTGGTGAAAAGCTACCTTATTAACAAAGAACAAAAGAGAAGTGGTGAATTGGGGCCTGTAGAAAGACCTGGAGTAGCCAGGTGAAGAATGTAAGTCAACCAGGAATGAAGAAAAGGACTGTGGTTCATCACTGAGGTCCCAGCTGAGGATGAAAGCATGAGGTTTTCATGAAAAAGTTTCTCATTCCTTTGTCTTGCAATGTGATGGTTAAACACAGGGGTCTAGAAATTTATCTTGGTTAGAATATGGGATAGATAGACTAAAACAATTCCTGTGTTGAAATCTGCTTGGGAAAATTCACTGGAATTTCACTGGACCAAGATCCAGAGAGTAGACTAAAAGTTGGAGTTGACATGTAGAAAATTCATCACTGTTTCTTTTATTTAAAGGTAAATGTAAACATATCCTGTCATTGTAGCCTCTGTCCCACTGTTCAAACTGCAATAAATCTGTGATAAACAACTCTTGGAAGGTTAGGACCCAGTCAAATAATTGAATCATTTCAGATTTCACTCTGTCAATTACTCTTTTCTCCCTTAAATTTTATAGTCCAATTAGATAACTCTGTTTCCATAAAGAAGGGGGAACACGGTCCTGCACTTCAAGTTTTACTCACACCACAAAGGCTTTAGAATTTCTAACATTTCTAACTCAGAGTTGCTTCTGATCTATTGTGTATTTTTAGGCTAGAAGAACTCATAACAACCTTTTTGGAAGACCAGGATCCAGAGAGTAGACTAGAAGTTGGAGCCGACATGCGTAAAATTCATCACTGTTTCTATTATTTAAAGGTAAATTTAAACATTCTCACATTGTAGCCTCTGTCCCTCTGTTCAAACTGCAATAAACCTGTGATAAACAACTCTTGAAAGGTTAAGACCCAGTGACCCACATCCCAAAGGGTGAGATTTTCAAACCAGTGCCACAGTTACCACTACATTTCTTCAGAGGCTGATCTTACTTCCCAATAAATAAGGTCAGGCCCTGAATCTCTAATTCTTTTGCCAGAAATCACTACCTTCTACACAGAATAGCCTCAGATTCAAAACCCTTTATTTTCAGGTTACATCAAAAGTCTTATGTCATTTCCTTTTTCCAACAACTTTGGGTTATCCCTATATTTTCTGTTTTTCTTTGCCTTAGATTTTACTGTTGATGAATGATACAGTGGGAATATCTTTACCCATTACTTCTACCTCCCCTATAACCTGACATACTTCACTAAGATAATAAAAATTTGTTGTGAGGCTGCTATGGGTCAAGCATAGGGTAGGCAAAGACAAATAAATCACAGAGAAGGCAGATTTGTAAAGAATCATTACAAAGCATGGTAACTATTAACTTGGAAAAGGTGTGAAATAAGGATTGTGGGGTTTTGGAGAAAGGGAAGAATTCCAGCAGGAGAGCGTGTTTAAGTGGGAATTCCCCACCTTAGAAGAAGAGATCATAAAATCAAGAAAGGGGAACCTCTGTTGACTCAAGGAATTAAGTGTCAGCACTATGAAGCTATCAGCAGCCACTGCAGCACAAGTTCAATTCCCAGCCAGGGAGCTGACCCACATGACCCAGCAGACCTCTCCTGTCTCACCCGCTGCTCCCCTCAGCAGTATATTTCAGTCAATCCCCAATCTGTCTCTGGTGAATCCTCTAACCACCCCTCCTTCCCCACACCTCTGGCCTATACCCCAGCTCTTGTATGCATAAACAAATAAAATAAATCTAAAAAAAGAAAAAAAAGAATAGAGAAAGGAAGGAGGAGAGGGAAGGACTGGAAAGACACCAAACAAAGGCAACAGTAACGCAAAGACAAGGAGGCACAACAATGCGTGCAGGTCTGATTTCTGGAGGAATAGTGAAAGCAGATACAGCCACACACTGAAATTTGCAATAGAGTCATGGACATTAAGCTCTGATTTCATCCTGTAGAAGCTGCTGAATGACAAGAAGATCCGCGGAAAGAGCCCTGTCTCCTCTGAAATCAAAACGCAAAACTGCCAAGAACCATTAAAAGAGGAAGAATATAAAAAGCTACGAGATATTCTACAGCAGAGAGATAATGAAATCAGTATCCTTTCTGAAATGATGAGAGACTTCCCAACTTCCCTCTCCTGGCTTCAGCCCGCACGTGGGAACCCTCCCTGGCCATTGCCCCTGGCTCCCCACCCCGCTTCCGGTTCTGGTTACTTATTTCCATTTAGGAAAAAAATGTCCTTGCAGCAAACAAAAAAGTGGTGAAAAGAAAGTTGCTATAGAAGTAAGAAAAAAAAAAGACCTTTAACTCCTTTAACTTTTAGTCAAATAGAGTTGTTGTGGGGAAATATTCCAATTGATAGAAAAATATGGCCATTTGGCCATTTTTTACATCATCTCTTAACATTAAATGATATGTATTATGCACACGTACACACTTTTTTTTTTTTTTTTTTTTTTTTTTTACTACTCTGCAATGCTTTTTCTGTTTTAGTCCTGAGCCTGAAAGTTAGCTGGTTATCTTTAGCTTACTGACCGGACATTGGGCTGACCGCTGTCTCACGGTGGCCCAGAATTTGTGGCTGGTGTGTGGGTGAAACTCAGAAGATGATTGAAAAAAAAATAAATTTAAAAAGATGAGTGGTATTTAGCTTATGAAGAGCAGAGATTGATTTAAATTTAACTTTTTTATTTAAAAGCCAGATCTATCTCTTTGGGTTCCTCTTACAAATGTTCCCAATTTTGGAAGTGAGTACATATGAGTGTTCAAGATACAATTTTTACCAGCTCTGAAGACAGGGTGTTTTGGGTACCCACAGTCAGGAGCTCTGGGAGCTGCCTCGAGTTGCACACAGGGTGGTGGCTTCTAACGAGTCCCTCCTGCGTGTGTTAGACCTCAGGACACCTCAGCATTTCCTTGGTATTGTTTATTTTAATCTTTCTTGTAGAAGAAGTGATTTTTTTCATTACATTTGCAGACTTAAAACATACACAAAAATTACTTTGTTCAGTTCCTTCTGAATGTGTTTTTGTTCATATTTTAAAATCACTAAAGGCATGTTTGTGTCGGTAAATGTGCAAAATGCATAAAAAATAGCCTACATGAAGGAAAACCAGTAATGAAGAAGTAAAAACAAACCAAAGAAGAAGCACATTGCCTGATTAACTTCAGTCTCTAATTTTAGTTGAGAATTAGCAGACCCCCTGTGTCTGACTCAAGTGAGTTTTAACTGCTTTATTATCCAGCCAGTTAACAGTAGATTCAGCTGTGAATTATACTCCCTTTGACAAAGGCCCTTGTCTGGTGCTGCACACAGGCCTGTCACTCCTGCATTCCTGCTCCTCTCTCTTACCCAATCCATCTCCAGGGATGGTCCCAGCCTAGACTTCAGGCCTGGCCCCAGCCCCAGGCTGAGTTCTGCATCTTTTTCTGGCCTTGTTCCTAGTTTAGAATCTTCTCCCTTAAACACTCCTACCAACTTCTTAATCCCCTTCTGGATTTATGAATGTCTGTGCATAGAGGAGGAATGAAATGAGATATGACAGAAGAGGGAACAGTCTAAGACTGTTCCTACATGTTTATTTTAAAAAGAGTGAGAGAGATAAATACATCATCTCCCCTCATTGGTAAACGCAGGTATCCCTGCTCCCATGGGGCTATGCGAGATTTTTCACTGTGAATAACTCAAATGGAGTCTCCTCCTTCTGAGACTAGTATTCAAAACGATGGTGTGTAGGAGGCATGGTGAAGAGAATACTGAATTTAAAGTTCACACCTGGACTGTAATTCTAACTCTTCATTCATTAGCTCTGTAACTGCTCGATGTAGCTGCTTCCTGCACATCAGCAGGAGGAGTCAAAGACCTATCTTGCCTACCTCACAGTGGCTGAGCAAAGCCAGAGAGGTTATTTATGGGCAAGTGCTTCGAGCTCTATGGGGTGTTATAAAAATTGAAGATATGACTCCGTAGACAATAGGTAAACTCAGAAGGTGGAAAAATAGCATCTAAGATTCACTCCTAACGGCTTACACGTATCACAGGCTACTCATCAAGAGAGGATCCAGAAATTACATAGATCCTCACAGTTCTTTTTTGTAGAACTCAGACAGTTAAGTCTGAGACAGGAGCAGTGAGAAAGATCTGGGTTAGATTAAAAAAAAAAAAGATAATTCTTGAACTCCACAAAAACCTGAATTTATGCAACAAAATGCTGATAAATGACACTGATTTTTTTTTTTTTTTTTTTGGAAAGGGAGGAAAAAAGGTCTCATTTCAATGACATTATCAGTTTGAATAAGTTCAGACACCTCTTCACAAAGCTTATAATTGGTGGCATTTAGTACCCAACACAGTGCTTGGCTTGAACAAGAGCCCAGGTTAAATGAGAAAGGGAAGAAGACAAAGAAAAGTCAGCTAAAAAGGAAGGCAGCAAAGATGATTTTGTATTGTGATCTTTATGAAATGTAAATCAGAACACATCATTTCTCTGATTTAAATCTTCCAGGGCTTCCCATTAGAATAACATTCAACCTCTTTACTCGAGATTATGAGGCCCCAGGTTGTCTTGCTCCTGCCCAGCCCCCCACCCCTCGGAGGTCTTAGTCCTCTGTCCTTTGTATGTTACACTTCAGACATAGTGACCCCTTGTTGTTCTTTTGGATAACACAGGGATTCTCAGCCTCAGCACTGCTGGCATTTTGAGGCTGTGTAATGTTGTTGCTGGAGCTATCCTGGGCATTGTAGAAATTTTAGCAGCAAGTCCTGACTCTACCTACTGGATTTCATAACAGTAACTACCCATCCTCCACCCACCACACCAATACAACAATAAAAAATCGGACCCTCCCTGGTGGCACAACAGGTTAAAGCAGAGCACTATGAAGCTATCCCCAGCCACTTCAGCACAAGTTCAATCCTTGGCAAGGGAGGGAACCCACATGGTGTGGCAGACCTCTCCTGACCCGCCCACTCTGCCCTCAGCAGTGTGTTTCAGTGGATCTGCCTTTTCTGCTCCCGCCTCTGTCTCTGGTGAATCCTGTCACCCCCTGCACCTCTGGCCTATAACTCAGTTCTGTATTCATAAATAAACAAATCTTTAAAACAAACCAACAAAAATGTCTCCAGACATGATCAAATATCCCCGGAGTGGTGAAATATTCCCTGTTTGAGGCCTCAGGGGCATAGCACTAGCGATTTCTTCTGTTTGTGTGCTCTTTCTCTTGCTGGTTCTTGTCATTCCAATCTCAGCTTCAGTGTCATTCTCAGGAAGACCATCCTTAAGCACTCAGTGTAGAGGAGCCACTCAGTCACTCTTGACTTTTTGAAAGTAAGTTATCTGGAACTTTCTAAGATTACATATGTGCATCTGTATGAGAACTTTCTCCAGTAGGACAGCTGCTTTACGAGAGCAAGAAACTAACCTACCTTTTCATTATTCCACCCCTGTGCCTACAACAGTGTCTGGCACAGAGCACCAATAAATACCATGGAGTCTGAATATTGCTACCACTGTGTTTAAACCAGAGAGCCTATAGGGTGCTGTTGATAAACAATTCCATGCAAAGAAGATAGATAGGCTTGTCTCTGCCAGCCCGGTAGCTCGACACTTACACAAGCTATGAACACCTTTGATAAGGATAAGTTTTTTTTTAGGACAAAATGGATACCACATCAGGAATTGTGAACTAAAAAACTGGTTATGCTTCTAGAAATCAACAGAAATTTAGTCAAAGCTGAGGTTGTAGATGGAAATGGAATGATGTCCATGTGACTTGCCAACAAGTCCATGTGAGTGTGGCCAATGCCTCCCCTCCCACTGAGAAACAGTCTTCTCTCCCACACCATCCTCCTGTTACTCAGGCACCTATTCTAATGCCGCCAGCGTAGCAGTGGAGGGCCTTGAATTCCTCCTACCATGTGTGCAATAGATGCCTAAGATTCTCAGGAGGGAGTAAAACTTTCTTCTTTCTTCTTAGTGATGACACAAATCTATTAGAGCTCTAGGCATCTTGAACCTGAGTAGGCAGTGAAGTAGGGTAGAGTGGAGGGATGTTCTCAGTTATTGAGCTCCTAGTATAGTAACTGACTGAAAGCCCATTTGAATGGGCTATAAGTAAGTATGTGTTGGGCTTGGGGATACACATTGACCACCAGGACTAATTTGGCTGGTCTGCCAACTTGGGGGCTTCAGAATCCGCCCTTTCCAACTCCTGAGCAGCTTCCTCAATGAACGTCTTATTTACCCACAGATAATGCAAAACTCCACTGTCTAATACTACTCAGTATTTGTTTACTTTTTTTTTTATAAGCTCTTTCATAAAACATTTAAAGCATAACTGGCTTAAACTCAGAATATTTTATTGGGTTTTTTTGTTTATTGTGGTTTTTTTTTTTTTTTTTTTTGCATAGAAGAACAGGGGTACAGGCCAGAGGTGCAGGTGATGAGCAGATTCACCAGAGCCAGAGTGGGGAATAGAGTAGGCAGATTTACTACTTATTAAAATACACTGATAAGAGAAGCAGCGGAAAGACAGGAGAATGTGTGCAATATGTAGATCAGCTTCCTGGCCAGGGATTGAACACTGGCCATAGTGGTGATAGCTCTGAGATTTAATTCCTACATCAGCAGGAAGACCCTTAAACTTGAAATATTTCAAAGGCCTTTAGATTGGCTAATTTTTGGTATGAGGTGCCATATTTTAAAAACTGACAGCTTCCTAAACTATCTAATTTAAATTTTATATATGCATATGTAATTTAAATTTTGTATGTGTGTACATATATAAATGTTTATAGGTATCTTATATGTATACATATATAGGTATTTTATATGTATACTTACATATATGTATGTGTGTATAGATGTATATATGTATGTTATATATATATAACATACATACATATATATATATATATATATGTATATATGGAATATTATATGACTTCAGGAAGTTCAAATCTCCCCTGTCAGTCACAAATAGCAAGTTGTATTCAGAATATTATTCTCATTTGAAACATCAGTGTTCTGTTCACTATCATTGAGCATGAGTCACTAATTCCTTAAATCAAGTTTCAGATATTCTGGTCAATATGTTAAAGAAGGAAAAGAAGAAAACTCAGGATGCACTCCATTTGTCTGGCATGGACAGAAGCGAGTGTAGACATTCACAGAGCTCACCTTTACCCCCCGGGAACCCAGAAGGTCCAAGAGTGTTGCTTCCCTCAGCTCCCGGACAAGCCCAGGACAGCCCCTTCGCATCCAGGTCCAGTCTGCTCCACAGAAAAACAGGTCAGTTGACTAAATTTCTAGTATTTCTCATAATGAATTTCAACATAGCATCCTTTAGTTTTAAATATGTAAATATGAAGTCTCCAATAATTTGTTAGAATTACCTCATATGTTATCAAACATTTCAGTGAAATAGTCATTTCCAAGATTGATGACTGAACTGAAATAGAAAGTATGAATTGTCAATACTCATGGCAAAATGAGATGGGTCCAGAGCACTGTCAGAAAAATTAACTTTGGAGAATAAGAACCTTCCTCTTGTTACAGGAGGGGAAGAATACAGACAGATGTCTCATTACTGGTGGTGACATGGTATTTATTTCTAAATACAAATGAGCTATCTCTAGCAAAATAATTTCAAAGTATGATCACAGTCTACCATAAAGGAAAACAATAACAAACAAAAACTTTTTTAGATAATGGACACTGACATGGCCAGGCTAATTCAAAGACACCTTCTTGGTTTGTAGCTTTTGTTCACTGAAACTATGGCCCCTGGTGGGTTGGTGCTGGACTATTAGACAAGCAGAGCACACTGTACAGTCAGGATGCAGTGACTGATGACTTTCTCTTGAAGACACTAGTGATATAATGAGTGGAATTTGCTCAAACAAAGGCATGAAGAACTTTCTTTTCTGGCAACATAAGTTGAAATTTTCTGTACAAATGCTTATTGGGATGGACGACCTGACACATAGTTTTCTAAAGAATTTACTTGGGAACAATGAAGAGAGCATGAAACTCATTAAGGAGGACACCTTTTCGTTAATGAAGATAGGATTGAAAGGCTTGGAAATATGTTTTGTGATATAAATCCCTTTAGCTCTTAATTCTAAATCTCTTTGCTTTGAATATTTCTTTAGCAACACAGTAGGCTAAAATCAAAATCCCAGGAAATCAGAATGTTATTTTTACCATTTATCATGGATACAGCAGGCAAGGAAAAGCAATTATTTCTCTCTGTGATTATTTTACATACAGTATTTTCTATATTCTACTGTGATAACAGCTGATTTTGGGGAAAAGGGAAGAGACCCTCAGGGTTGTTCAATCCATTAGTTCATCCATTAATTTATTCATCCTCTACATATATGCAGTAACTAATCTTTTAACATATGTTTATTAAGTATGCCCTTCATTTTAGATACTTTGATTCTTCCTGTTATTAAAATTATTATTATTATTATCACTATTGCTAAAGCTGCCAAGGACCTACTATTCAAAGTTCTTTGCTTGAATTAACTCATCAAGTCTTGATCCTACAAGTTCTTGTTTTACCACCACATTACAGATGAAGACATACAAGGACAAGCACAACCTCTGACCTAGAACATAGAGAGACTGACAGAGAGTCTTGAACAATTAATGACAAAAGCTCACTTCTGTATCACCAGGGAACCCTAGCTCAAGAAAGGCCAAAAAGGATCATGAGGATGGGAGTGGGCATAGAGGGAATATTGCAAGCAGAAGGAATTATTTGAATAACTTTTAAAGGCTTTGTAGTGAAAAGAAACACTTTAGGATGTGAAAAAGATAGGTATGGCTGGATTCTGTGACATGAGAGGCTAGGAAGATGGGTTCAGGGATATGTGCAGGCTATACTGGTAGAGGAAACAAAGACTATGACCAGTAAGAAAGCTACTGTGGCATTGTGGCGCAGGCCAAAGGGTGGGGATGACATAAGGGAAGGGAGGATCAGAAACACTCAGGAAGTGAGTGTTAACTAAAGGATGTGGGGTAAAAGGAAGATTGGCTCCCAGGCCTTTGGGTCATTAGTGAGACTTTGTATAGTGGCAAGGAAAAGCACCTCCCCTCTCCCTGCAACCCTTGGTGCTGTTGATTATACATAATGAAGCATTGGTGTCACTGCTAAAATGAAAGGTCGCTCCTGGTCCCCGGTTAGACCCCTATGCCCATGAGGGAGGGAATTCTACTGCCGGGCCCCTGTACACAGGCACAGTCTTGATCTCACTGCCCAGGCCCTTGCCATGGTCTGGACCTTTTACACTTATATTTTCTCTTGCCCATTCCATCTCGCTTCTCATAATTCTTCCCCACAGCATCTCATAATCTGTCCTCCTAGTCAACTTTTTCAGTAACTCATTTCTTCCCATGTTATTGAATCAGAATACAGTTTAGTTTGGAAAAGGAATTAAGTTTACTTTAATAGAAAATCACTGAAAAAATAATGGAAATTGTTTGTAAAGTCCAAGTACAAATGAGGAAAGGAGTTTTGGAGAAAAGCCTTATAGTGGAAAGGGTTTTTGAGTTGTTTTAACTGACATTGGATATAGTTCTAGCAATAACTTTAAGTAGGAGTAGGCTCACAAATGAATTGATAATGATCTAACCATTTGGAAGAGGGATTGATGGGGGATTGATTTTATTCTTTGGCAAAACTACAGATGGGATGAAAATTGCTGTGGATGAACCAGTGCTTCAAAGAAATTTGTAATGGGATAGTTTATTACAATGTTTAAGATTGCAGGAGCTGATTAGGCTTTTATTATTGCATTATTTTATATAGAAGAGGCTTGTGTAAGCTAAATCAAATACAAAAAATTAATAAGCATGTTGTTTTGAAAGAGTTTGTACCTTAGGTATGTGTTATCAATCTCTATTAACCAACCCCAAGGCCATTTTGAATGCAGAAAGTAAATCTGACCATCTTTATTCTGAAACTGTTGCAAAATTTTTCCCCTTTGATGACCCCCCTCTTCTTTCATTCACCCCCGCCCCTTATGCTGAAAATGACTTCTTTTAAATTTCTTGTGGTAAAAGGAAATGAAACAGAATTCATGGTTCACTAAGGAGCCCAGCACCATCTTGCTCAACGCAGAGGAATGCTACGGGCTGGGGGGCTTTTGTTGTTTGGGGGTTACATGTCTCTTTTGGTTTCATTGCAATAGAGAGGGGTTGTTCAGTTTCACAGTGTACAGAGTTGTGATTTTCTATTTAAAATAACAGAAGTTTTAGAATTTGGTTTTTTGTTGTTTGGTTTTGTTTTCTGCTTTAGTTCTCTGAGCATTCACCTATAATGGTCACCTACAATGGTCACCTGGAGACTTTCAGTATTCCTAAGTCCCTTGATAACTTACCACATCCTTTAACATCTCAGGTGTTGTTATTGGTATTATCTGAAGCCAAGGTGAATGGAAAGTTCAAGGCTTTCCATGGAGGCTTGAGGCTCTTTCCTCTTACTCCTTATTGATTCCCTACTATGTGAGTGGAAGGGCCAGAGACTCATGTTGTAGGGGCACCAATAGGAAGTGAGAAATTATCTTCGATTAGATTTAAATGGCAAGGCTTACTTGGCACACAAAGAACTGAAAATAAAATAACAAGTACTCTGAATAGAAACAAGAGGAAAGACTATGAGGATTCAAACTGAGAGGGGAGAATTTTAATAAGTAGTGAAGAAAAAAAAAAACACTTGAAATCTGACTAAAGAACTGAGGTTACCTGAAGGGGAGAATGCGGGGGTGGGAGCTAGGGATGGGGGGGCCCAGTGGAGTATAGTGGAGTATTATTGGCACTTTGGTAGAGGGTGAGATGTGATAATATTCATTTGTGTATGTATATATCTAAAACACATACAGTGTTTCAAATCAATATTACCTCGATAACCACAATTTAAAATGATAAAGAAAAAGTATTAAGTGGTCAGAGAAAGCATTATAGGATTTAAAGAATAATATGAAACAACCTCAGTGTCCTTTGATGGATGAAAGCCTAATAAATTTATTATGTATGTATATGTGTATAACACATACACACATGCACACATATACAATGGTTACACACATATGTACAATGGTTACTAGTCAACAACTAAGAAAATGAATGAAACATTACCATTTGTACCAAATTGAATGAACCTTGAAGTAATCTTGAAATAAGTCAAGTAGGGAAAGAAAAATACAAGTGATGCCATTTTCATGTGAAATCTAAAAGCAAACAGTAACAACAAAAAAAGTCCACATAGACAATAGAATGGTATTTGCCAGAGTCATTTTGGGGTGGGTGTAATGGATTAAGGATAGAATCAGAGGTCAAAGATAAAACTTCAGTTATAAGAGAAGTTGAGTCGTGGTTAATAACACTATATTTGGAAGTTGCTAAGAGACTAAACTCATCACAGGAAAGACGTTATAACTATATATGGGAATAATGTGCAGTACGCTTGCTCTGTTCATTTCTCAATATACACAAATACCAAATCATTATATTATGTACCTGAAGCTAGTGTAATGTTACATTCAATTATATCCCCCTTTTTTGGATTTATTTATTTATGCTTATAGAACTGGGGTACAGGCAAGAGGTGTGGTGGGTGAGAGGATTCACCAGAGACAAAATGAGGAGCAGAACAGGCAGATTGACTGAAATACACTGCTGAAAGGAGCAGCAGACGGGTCAGGAGAGGTCTGCCGTGCCATGTGGGTCACCTCCCTGGCAAGGGGATCAAACTCGTGCTGCAGTGGCTTCAGAGAGTTTCATAATACAGTGCTTTAACCTGTTGCACCACCAGGGAGAGCCCTAAATCCCATTGTTTTGTTTTTAAAGATTTGTTTATTTATGCATACAGAACTGGGGTACAGGCCAAAGGTATGGGGGTGGTGAGAGGATTCACCAGACACAGAGTGCAGAGTGGGGAGCAGAACAGGTAGATCAACGAAGTGCACTAAGAGGAGCAGCGGGCACATCAGTAGAGGTCTGCTGCGCCTATATCCCATTGTTTTTAAAAGATTTATTTGTGCATACAGAACTGGGGTACAGGCCAGAGGTGCAGGGGCGCTGAGAGGATTCACCAGAGACAGAGTGGGGAGCAGACCAGGCCAACTGATAAAGTCCTGCTGAGGGGAGCAGCAGGTGGTCAGGAGAGGTCTGCCGCACCATGTGGATCTCCTCCTGGGCTGGGGGTAGAACTTAGGTTGAAGTGGCTTTAGCTTCTTAGTGCTGTGCTTTAACCCACTGCACCACAAGGAAGGGTTCTATAT